TGAGTTCTTCACGTATATTTCTTTATTCAATACTGACAAACGTAAAAGATGCAACATTTTACTTGATTTTATAATTGAGAAAATTGAGACTTAAAAAATATTGATATTGCCATATTCAGGATTTAAGTGATGTCTTACTCTTTCACAAAACTTGCGTCCTTATTCAAATAAATCAAGATTTATCATTTTTTTATGTTTTTTTTTCTCAGTAGTATAGCCTATTTTTGCCTTCATAGAAATGGCATAACTGATATACTTAAAGTATGGGTCCTGAATTTAAAAATATAGATCATTAAAAGTTTTTTAACCCCCAATATAATCTGTCTAGCTCATGATATTTTGAAAAAAAAAAAAACTAGGAAGACATTAAGACATTACAGCTTTAAGATATCTCTGGAGGTTCAAGTTTAGACCCAAGGGGAGCTAGGAACTAATAAATCACCCAAACAACTACAGAATGAGCTCACTGGGAGCCAGGATCACGGCTAAGCAGGTGAGTTATATGAGGTTTGTGTAAGGAGTGGATCACCAACCCTCTAGCCTAACCTATATTTCTGTTAGAAACCTCCCTTTTTGATGAGCTGTGGTATTAAATGGAATCATTCTGCTTTTAGAGATAATAACTCTAACATCTTAACTTCATTTCTTACTTTCATACTTTCTGCTTTTTAGTACTTTCTAAAGGATATCTATTTGTACTTAAAATACTACTTCGTCAATCTCCAATTCTCTCCCTCCTTTCTTCCCTTCTCCCACCACATTCTTTAAATAACCTATAATTAAGTTAATCATACAATTTTCTAGAATTACCTCCCTTCTTGCAGTGGTACCAACCAAAGAGAATTGTTACTCATCAGACATAAAGGAGAATTGTTACTCATCAGACATATGAGGGTGGATTACCAAGAATGGCTCTGTACTGAAGTGTCAGAAATTGTTTTTTTAAGCCCATCCTTGGCCTTTTGACACACCATACGTAATGTAATAAATTTCCTCTTAAATTAAAAATGACTACTCACTATAATTTTTGAATCCTGAAATAAAATACAAATCTATTGAGATTTGATTTCTATAATACTGATTCTCAAACAAGGTGTTTGGCTTCAAACAGGGCTCTAAGATGATCAGACTCAAACCATTCTTCCAGCCTTTTATTCATATCATGTCTTTTCATTTGTATTTGCTCTGAGATACACAGAAGAAGTCTCTCATGTTTTAATAAGTCACCATGTCTGCACACCTGGAGTACACTGATGATCCGCAGTGTGCTTCTGCAAGATGATGAGTAAGCCCTGGAATGGATGCTTGGCTTAGAAAAGCCAGGTAAACCCTGGAAAAGCACAGGGCAGGACATGACTAACACTAAACAGTGAGTAAGTCAGTAAATATCTTGATTAATAGAGCAGAGGATAGGAGAGAAAGAAGTTTCCTAATGACCATTTTCTTCTTCCTTTTGATTGAACACTTTTGTGTGCAAAGCTTTTCTGTTCAAAAGTAATATACTCTTATTATTGGAACTATTTCTTTGGTTATTTTGCCTTGTTACTTTAACTCGCTTCTCTACAATTCACACACACACACACAAACACACTGATTGGAATTTTATTCCTGTATCTGTAAGGTTCTATAGACTTTATATGCTCTAATAGTAAAATATTTATGTCTGAGTTATAATCACAATTATTCTTAGTATAAAATATCCTCCATATTTCCAATTTTAATGAATAATCATTAAACACAAATCTAACTTTCATTTGAATTTGTGTTGTTAGTGCAATGAGTCTTTATTTTATTTTATTATTTTATTTTATTTTATTTTATATTTTATCTTTTTATTTTATTTTATTTATTTTATTTTATTTTTTAGGTGAGGCAACCCTTGGTTGCAAGGACCTTGTCAGTTCATAATCCCTTATTTTTTTATTTCATTTTTTATGCCTATAGTATCTGGTCTTCCTAGGTGGTTTACCATCCAAGTACTAACCAGGCCCAACCCTGCTTAGCTTCTGAGATCAGACAGGATCGGGCTTGTTCAGGGTGGCATGGCTGTAGAAGCGATGAGTGTCTTGATGAAAGAAATTATATAAATGCCCAAATTGTTTAGAATCCTAAATATTTTTATATCTTGGAGCAAAAAATTATATAAGATTCCAGGTGAGAGAGAAACAGTTTTATTTGTAAAATGGGAGAAGGGTAGATTTTTAAAAGGAAAGAAAAAAAAAGTACAGGTGCCTTCTCAGATAAATCATTTTCAGAAAAAAAAAAAATAGATGTGAAAATAAAGGAACTAAAAATTTATTTTCTTAAAATTATTCTCGTTCTCATAACCCTTGGAGAGTCCTTCTTTATGAACAAAAATAAGTATGCATCGATTTGAATTCCACTGGCATGGTGAAGTCATAAACTCAAACTAATCCAGCCACAAAACCACAAGAGAAATAAATCAGTTTGAAAGTGTCGCTGAGCTCTGCTTGCCATTCTAACCATTGACTTTGTTCTTTAGACTACAGATTCTCAAACATGGCTGGACATCGAAAACCACCAGAGGAGCTTTTAAAATACCGATGCCTGGGTGCTAACCAGACGTTCTGATTAAATTGATAGGGGGTGCCTGGACACTGGTGATTCCAATGTGCAATAAAACTTAAGACAAAAGTTACTTTAGGAAAGGTGAAATGAAGTAAGAAATAACAGCGTTTATTAAGAAAATCTTTTTTTTTTTTTTTTAAGAAAATCTTTTGATATAATGTGTCGATTTTAAGAGTTCCCTCTCAAAATTGACACAAGTGTGGAAATGACTGAATCAATGGTGAGACTTTGGGATGGCTTCAGAACAACCTACAGAAAGTAACTCTGAAGGCTAAGCAGAAAAATTACTTTTAAAAATTAGAGGGATCGATAAAATAAGTCAATTTTATCAATTGTTAGGTAGATGCAAAATCATAAATGCTGTATTTTATAAACACTTTAAAAGATTTTCATAGGTAATTTTGTTTCCATGTGATATTTAAGTTTATGGAACTTGGAATCCAAACTCCACCTTAATAAGCAACTACACTGTAAACTTTTTTTTTTTACCATTAATTTGGTGCTTAAATATTCCACTTAACAGCAAATATCTGCCATCTTTATCCTCTTATGTGGTGCCCTCTGATTTGTTTTGACATGTATTTTGGAACCATCACAAACCTGAAGTTACGTAAAAGAAGTCACTAAAGAAACTCTGATGCACAGATAGCCTTTATTATTTTAAGTAAAATATTATGAAAAATTATAAACAAACATCTTCTTCTGACATCATTTTTCAATGAATGTAGTCTGCTTAATTTGACACTGTATAGTAGCCTTATAATTATTCTCAATTAGAATTCACATTATATCTTCACAGCTGGAATTGAAATAAAAGACTGAGAAAAAGTTAAGTATGTTCAAGCCCCTAAAGAAAGAGAACCCTTAATTCTGAATATTCTTGAGTGAAACAGTTATTTACCAGGAAGCACAGAAATGCATAATAAGTTTTTAAAAGCTCAGGCTCCTGCAATTTTACTTTGGCAAAGTTCATGGAAAGCTTAGCAATCTTTAGGAAACTGCAGCTTTCATGCTTGTCTTCTCTAAAGTTTGACATTAAAGCCTGATACTATAAAAAAATGGATGCATCTGTCAGTGTTATTTTCTCCTAGTGAGTAAAGTTGAAGGAGCAAGTGACTATCCTTCAGACAGCATAGCTTGATGGTTAGGAATATAGGCTCTGTAGTAAAACAAACCCAATCCTATCCATATTATATTCTTTGTAGCCACAGATATAAGCCTGAGTTTTTTAAATTCTTAATTAGGGATAATGGGATAGATGCTTCATCATAGTATTAACAAGAGATTATAATAAATTCATGTATTACACTGAGTATCTAATAAGTACGGCACTCAGTTGCAACAGATAAATAATAATTGTAGTAATAAATAAAATTTGAAATACGAAGGAGTTAGACACGATGATGTCTCAAGTCGCTTTCTTTGTCAATATGTTGTGGTTCCACTTTGTGGAAAATAAAGCCAAGATAAAAGATAAAATTTGAATAGGCTAATATTGCTCTTAATGAGTCTAGTCCTCTTTTTCAGGGCTGGCAGAAATACAAATAATTACAATTATTTTGAAGCCTCCATCAAGAACTTGACCTACCTATTTATGTTTCCACAAAATTTTACTTACAACCGAATATTTCTTTGGAATATATTGCTAAAAGTGAAACCTATTAGGGTAAGTTCTTTAGATATTTGAAACCCTTGAAATAGATTGACACATGTTTATGAGGAAAGATGTAACTTAGAATAATTAGTTATCTGATAAATACTCAATTAACATTTTGGGCAACAAACTTTAAAATGAGGTAAATTTTGAAATGAGCAAAAATAATAAGTCTCTTTAATTTCTATACAAATAAAATTGTATGTATGTTTTCACATATTTCTGATTAATTTTTTAGTTATTATAGCTTAAAGTATGTAATCTATATAAGTGGGGGAGAGATATAGGAAAATGGTTAAGTCATGATAGATTATTCTGATGTATTTTAAAGCTGTGGGAACAGGTGCAAAATTGAAACATGGGAAAATATTAATATAGTTTCATTTATGAATTACATAATTTTATATATACATGTTTATATATACAAAAAAAGATAGTGGCAGCAAAAACACTAAAATATTAGTTGTCTTAGGATAATATTTTTCAGATAATATTTCACTTTTAACCTACAACATTTCTTACTTTCTAAAATTACAATGCAGAATAACTGTTAAGAAGACTATTTTGAGAATAAAAGACTCCTCCCCTTGGGACAAGAATGGCATGTCATTAGAGAGCTAAGGTGTGTACCTTGTGCCCACGAGATGACATAATTCAAGGCAAGAAGACACCAGCAATCGCCTTTCCACAACACTGGCAGGAGCCATGGAAAGTGTCATTTTTGTCCTTCGACTTGTTACAAAATCCTCCAGAATAAATGGCTGAAGTTAATACCACTTATGTCACTGAATTCATCCTCAAGGGAATCACAGACCGGCCAGAGCTTCAGGCTGCATGCTTCGTGGTATTTTTAGTCATCTATCTGGTCACAGTGCTGGGTAACCTCGGATTGATAACCTTGATCAGGATTGACGCCCGACTCCACACACCTATGTATTATTTCCTCAGTCACTTGGCCTTTGTGGACTTTTGTTACTCCTCCGCTATCACGCCAAAGATGATGGTGAATTTTGTTGTGGAATACAACACTATCTCTTTCAATGCTTGTGCAACGCAACTGGGCTGTTTCCTCACCTTCATGATCACGGAGTGTTTTCTTTTAGCTTCCATGGCCTATGATCGCTATGTAGCCATCTGCAATCCCCTGCATTACTCAACACTGATGTCAAAGAGATTCTGCATTCAATTGGTGGCAGTTCCATATATATATAGCTTTCTGGTTGCTCTATTCCATACCATTATCACCTTCCGACTAACTTACTGTGGCCCCAATGTCATTAACCATTTCTACTGTGATGACCTCCCCCTCCTGGCTCTGTCTTGCTCGGACACACACATGAAGGAGATTCTGATCTTTGCCTTTGCTGGCTTTGATATGATCTGTTCCTCTTCCATTGTCCTCACCTCCTACATCTTTATTATTGCCGCCATCCTAAGGATCCGCTCCAGCCAGGGGCGGCGCAAGGCCATTTCTACCTGTGGCTCCCACATGGTGGCTGTTACCATTTTCTACGGCACCCTGATCTTTATGTACCTGCAACCCAAATCAAACCACTCCCTGGACACAGACAAAATGGCGTCTGTATTTTACACAGTGGTGATCCCCATGTTGAACCCCCTTATCTATAGTCTAAGGAACAAAGAGGTGAAAGGTGCCACAAAGAAAGCCTTGGATAAAGGTTATGAAACCTTAAAGATATTAAAATTAAGAAAATAATAATATTAAATGCTTTATTAATACAAAAAGGGAAAGAAATCAAGCTTCCTTTTGCTGGTATTTCTTGTAATTTTTTCCTAGTCAGCTGAAAATATGATTGTTACCTCGATAGACCTTGACATTTTTTGCAAGGACCTGGGCCAATCCTGGAAAACCAGGATGATTCAAAGAGTCTTGTTCAAGCCCTTAAGGGCTTTAAAGACCATTGTAATTATGCTTAAACCCAAACTCAAACACGCTCACAAATATACACACATGTATCCCAAGCAAAGGCAGCATTATGGTTGTGTTAGAAGAACTCAGGTCTCTAGAACAAAGACTGTCTGAGTTTGAATTTTATTTCTCTGCTTTATTAGCTGTGCAGCCTTGGACAATGAACCTGAAATCAGTGTGACTCTCTTCTTGATTCTGTAAAATAATAGGACCCAACAGATTGGTTTGTTCTGAAGACTAAACAGACTAATAGTTATGAAATGCTTAAAACAATCTAAGTGCTAAGTAAATGTTTGTTGTATAAATGTTTGGTATATGTAATTGAAGATTAATTCATTGAGCTCTCAAGCTTACCAGTCTTTAAGAAAGAAGGACAAAGCCTGGTTACTTACCTGCCAAGCACTTAATCGAATAGTCCTACTTAATATAATCAAGCAAACCAATAGATGTGTGAGGTTTCACCTCTGGGCTTCAATTATTTCTAAATTGCCTAAGGTCACATAACTAGGAATATAAAAATTCCAAATGAAAATTTAAGTCTATCTGACTTTTGTTTTTCTAACATATGAGTGTTAATAATAAAGCATATTATAATATAGATTATCTAGACTTAAATACTTACTATCAGATTTTTAAATATAATTTGAAGACAAAAGTTTATAAAAAAATCATGTTTTTAAATGAATAATTTCAATGTGTTTATATATTTTCTTCAACTAGAAATAACCTTATGTTAAAATGTCATTTATCTGTGCTTGCTATTTACTCAGTCACCCTAGTAGGATCAAGGCATGAAATTTAAAAATCAGTGATTTGATATACTTTTATTTTGACATTTCATAAAAATAATTAAATTAATGATTTAGTATTATGTCATTATTTTACCATTTTAGAAGGAGATTATAATAGTTGTAGTCATTGTGTAGAAAATATATAATTGGAGTTTTGTAATACAAAGCAAATATTTTCTTTTCTGTACATAATTTGTAAATAACTCAGATATACTGCCGTAAGTTACTTTTAAAATCTTGTAAATTGCATGAATTCTCAGGTTTTTAAAGCAGGTTTGACAGACAAACATGGTGTCTCTATTCATTCCACTTTGTCTTGTGAATGTGTGTTTTCATGGACAGATACACATGCATGTTCTCACATACCACACTCAGGACACACAGAAACATCATAGACAGTCTAACTTTTTACAGGTAAAGAAATTCAGACCTGAGGAATCTCAATGCTCCACATGAGGAAAACTGCTCTTCTATGGTTTCACTGCACCTTTCTGCTTCATAAAATTATTCACAACAGCAAAACTTAAACAGTAATGGAATGGAAGTTCCACGTCTTTGCATAATTTTAATCCCTCGCTATTAGCAATCACTTCTTCAGGTATATCCGGCTTCCCTCAGAGAAATGAACCAAGAAATTCAAGTGTACTTGAGAGACGAATTATTCAGTTTCTTCCTGCTTAGATGCACAACACTTTGTGAGGCTTCTGACACTGTGCTTCCAGCCATTGCTCTAGGTGGCTGGTCTTCTCTACAAACACCAGACAGTCCCTTAGTCAAAATATCAAAATCAACATTTTTCATTTTGTCTCCAGATATATTTAAATAAAATGTTTGCACTCCACCTTCTGTGGTGTCCATAATGTTTTTGCATCTGAATATAGAATCAAGAGGCTGATAAAAAAAAAAGTGAAAACAATCCATTTTTGGCAGTGTCCAATACTAGTGAATAACATGACTGATTTCAGAAAGTTTGGCTTCAAATTTGAGATTTGCTTACTCCTGCTTTTGTGACACATAGAGCTTCAGTTATTTGTATAACAAGGAAAATGCTCATCTCACACATTAGTGTATGAGCATTTAGATAGGAATACATATAGGACTAAAGCACAATTGTTGACACCTAATATAAAGTTGGGAAATATCAGCTTTATCATCATGATTGTCAGCGACCTGGACCATTCAGAAGACATTTTGCTATAAAGATTTTTTTTTTTATACCAACAACTGATTAGTGATCATTTCAAATAAAAATTCAAGCAATTGTTTTTCCATACTGATACTAAGAAGTTTCAACTTTGTATTAGATTTCCTTTAATTTACTGTTCTTCAATTCTTTTCAGCTTATTGAGCGAAAGTGAAAAGAATATCGCCCTGTCTGTATAACTTGTTTTTAAATGTTTTACTTAAATAAGAGACCAGTTCTAAAATTTCCACACTAATACTAACAATAGTATTAAGGATACAAATAGCTGCTAATTATTGAATGTTTGCCATTGTTTGGCCTAATTCTATGTGTGTAACACTTATTAACCCTTTTAATCCTTTTATCAGTAATAAGAAATAAATCATAGACATTCAAGTTTAACATGTGAAAATCAGTATTTACAAAATAGATAAATTAAATGGACTTCAACCCATTTCACCATCAAAAAAGGATAATTTAAAACTGCATGAAATTAAAATTCCTTGAAAACATGCTTTAACTTAATTTTTAAAAAGTCAATAGTTTTAGAAGTATAAGATTTTCAAAAATGCATTGCGAATGTAAGTATTTTGGTGAATTTAATTAATATTTTTTTGTATGCTTACTTGTAAGTCCCTCATATTCCTTAAATTATATATCTCATTTATGTATTAGTTCAGAGATACCCATATTTTTCTACATATTTCGACCTCATCAAGTACATTAGATTATAAACTATGAAGAACCACTAGTAATTATATATTAATAGGCTTCTTTTTTCCTCTGACTTTCTTAATACTTAATGTGTTCTATAAGTAATTAAATCAAACAAGGGGTGTTTAATATATAATCACACAGGCTGAGGCCCATTGAGATCATTTCTCCAAAAATCTTGACTTATAATGGAAAATTGTGCTCCAGAGTTAAGGTTCTTTCCTTGGGTTCTAAATCAAGGCAGTTATATAGTAGCAAAGGGGACTCAGTGACATCAAAGTACTGCAGTGACATATAGTTAGGATTTACAGGAACAGCTAAGGGGAGATGGGATGTTCTCAGAAACATTTCTCAGAAATTAACATCACCAATAGGAAGACAAGGAGATGATGAATGCAGAAGATCCTCTGCTCCGTATATGGTGTGTTTTCCTGTCACTTTTTTTTTCCAGAATATATTGGCAACATGGGGGATCCATTTTTTTTTATGCCAGAATCAGGCTCACATGCTTCTAATCATTTCTTTTTTTTTAATTTAAGACAAATTTAATTTAAATCTAGTATTTGGGTGACTATTTGTGAATCACCATTTGTTTTAGATCTCAACATTGTATAACTATAGTTGGAAATAGAAGATAGTCATTAAAAAACTAAGCTTTATAATTTGGACAAAATTTAACTCTAATCTTGTCCCTCCCACCCCCACCCCCAGTTACTAACTACATGTGTGTTAATCAATTATATACACTGTTTTGAATTTCTTTATTCTTTCAATATCCATCTTGGCAGGATGTTATGAAAATTAGCTTAGATGGTCCAGTTAAAGCATTTCACCCAGCACTTGACACATAGAAAAACATTCAATAGATGTTAGCTTTATTTTTACTTTGAAAAGTTTCAAACTAAATAATTTATCATTTATTAACATAATATTTACTGTTTGTAACAAAAGAGTGGCTTCGTTTTCAAGAGTAAAGATGCTATTTTAATAACAATAATTAAGGAACCTAAAAATTTATCTTAAAATATGTTTATAGACACATAGCTTTTATATTTTCATTTTGCTAATTTTAAAATGAAGCATATGTTGCTAATGATTTTTTAAAAGGTTATTGCCCTATTACCTGAACTCAAATAAAAGGATCATTGATACAATAACAATGCTAATAATTAAATATAATAGTCAACTTTATGAAGTGATTCCTATGTGCTAGGAACTGTGCAATGCCTTTTATATTTATAATCTTATTTAATCATCACAATCAGTCAGAGAAAAAGGAATTATTACTGCTTTTTGCAGATGAGGAAACCAAAATACAGAATGTGCAATAATTTACCAAAGACAATGGTTATTACTTGGAAAACCTAAAATTATTAAGTGAACTGAATGAAGAGTCAGTCTCACGTTCTTAACCACACACTTTTATAGAATAGGCAGTGAATAACAATGGTGTGAAGTGGCTCCAAAGAACTAAACTGATACAGGATCAGGGTCACTACATGCTCAATGTCAAGGTAGTCATGCTGGTGCTATTCTTTCAATTGAAGGCAGAAAATGAAATATTAAGAAAATTATTCAGTGTTAAAACCAAAAATCCTTACTATTGAACTTTGACATGTTTTCCAGGTTATCTATATAGCAAGCTTGAAATACAAGATGTTGAAATATTTCAGTATTGCCCAAATTACTCAATATGTCACAGAAATCAGATAAAGCCACTATTTCCCAATTCTCTTTAACTATGAAGAAATTATTGTTAAATAAGATTCAGATCTCTCTCTGTCTCTCCGTCTCTCTCTCTCTCTGTCTCTCTCTCAGCCCCCACCCACTTTACAATTCAATAACTAAATTTACACAACACCTTTCATATGGAAATCGTTGAGAAAGAAAACTGTGGATGAGACATATTCTGAGTGACTTTGAGCACTGAAGTGAGGGATTTGGTCCTAATATTTCTCAGCATTGTGACTCTAGGTAAAACACAACTCAAAGTTCTCTGGTCCCACCCTGTTCAATAATTTTTCAGTTATTTAATAGCCAAATACAACTTTTGCATAATCCTTTTCAGTGCATTTTTTACCTCCTGATTTCTCAAGCTATAGATGAATGGGTTTAGCATGGGAATCACTACCACATAAAACACAGAAGCAAATTTATCTGTGTTCAGTGAATGGCTTGACTTGGGCAGTAGATACATAAAAATGATTGTCACATAAAATATTGTGATGGAGGTCAGATGGGAAGCACAGGTGGAAAAAGCTTTCTGTCTTCCTTCGGCAGAACGGACCCTCAGGATGGTAAAGAAGATGAAGAAATAAGAAATTAGTACAATCAGCAGAGAGCAAAGGGTATTGAATCCAGCAATAATTAACAATAGCAGCTCTTTGATGTGAGTGTCAGAGCAGGCCAGAGCAACCAATGGAACATCGTCACAGTAGAAGTGGTTGACCACATTGGAGTCACAAAAAGACAAGTGGAAAGTTGCCACTGTCTGTATGAGACCCACAGCGAATCCATAAATGTATGTGCTAGCAATGATTTGATTACAGAATTTTCTAGGCATGAGAATGACATAGAGTAAAGGATTACAAATGGCAACATACCGATCATAGGCCATGATTGCGAGCAAATACTGTTCGCAAACTACAAATGTGATGAAGCAACACACCTGAATGGCACATGCATAAAATGTTATACTTTTAACTTCACACAGAAAATTCACCAAGGTGTTCGGGGTGACAGTCGAAGTAAAAGAAAAATCAACAAAAGCCAGATGGCTGAGAAAAAAATACATGGGTGTGTGAAGCTGAGGACTGATTTGGATTAGCACAATCAAACCCAAATTACCCAAGACACTAGCTAAATAGATTACTAGAAATACACCAAAGAGAATGACTTGAAGCTCTGGATTATCTGTGAGTCCTGAGAGGATAAACTCAAACACTGCTGAATGATTGCCTTTGGCCATAGAACAGATTTAAAAGTTATTTTACATTTTAAAACTCTCCACAGCACACGTTCTGAGTATTCCTGCTTCCGTTGGCAATAATCGAGTAGATGTTAGAAGCTGATTCTGACCCACTTATGTTGAACGCATTCAAAGGAGAATCTTCACGTTAGTTCTGTTTTCAGAATGAAGTGATTTATTCTAGGCAGAAATTCCAGAACACGAAACTCTGTGGGGATTTGTAAAGATAGAAGGGTGATATTTTATTTAAAATTTTATATAACTAAAGAATCTATTCCATAACTACTTTTATAAGAGAAAATAAAGATTGAGACTTATTTGAACACAAATAAGAAAAATATTCTTTTAATTATTGGAATATTTTAACAAAATTTTACTAATTTCTTTGAAATTTTTTAATAAGCAGGAAACAAAAATTTAAAAAAATCAATTCCAGAAGTGGTAATATGAAAGGTAAAACAAAATTTTGACTATTGATGATCTCCATACTAAATATTTGGTATAAGTTTTACTGTATTTTGTTCTCTTATTGTGATTCTTAGTTTTTCTTCAATTGTTAAGTGGTATTTGTGATTAGGAATGTAGATAGTCCTACTATTTTTAAATATGCTTAAAAGGATTAAAAATACATTAAGTGATTCAGAAAACAAGTTATCATGTATCTTCAAACATCCAAATGCAAAGCAGAAGAAAAAAATTCAAGAATGAGTTTATAGAAATACAAACTGGTCTTAATGATGTTTATTTGAGTAACAGAGAGATAAATTTAATTTTTTTCAAGAATTTATCTCAGATTATCTTTACATCAACCCTACAGATTCACAATGTAGCTATCATTTCCATTTTCAGATATGGAAACAGAGTGAGAGTTTAAGCCCTCCTCATGTTGCCTGATTATTAACACAAAAAAGAATAATCCTTTTGGATACCTACAAAATCCCGCATAACACCCCTGTTACTCTCAGTAGTTGCAAACAATTCTAACATCAGAGGGAGATAAAGTAATAAAATGAAACATTTCTCAACTTTTTGAATCAAGTTGCTCAAAACTACCTGCTTCTACAACTATCTTTCAACTTATTTAGGGGTAGGGTTGGAGGGGTGTTATTTTTCTAATATCTAAAATTATATTTTTAGTTTCCAAACTCTTTTGAGTCTCATATCTTTTGCCTCTACTAATTTATTCACTTTCCCATCAATTTAAAAACAAGATACATGCAAGAAGTCTCAGCAGTAACCTCTGACTTCTATTCCTTTACCTTTATCCACTAACTTCTGTTCTTCTCTTCATCCCTTCCAAACATCCTGGAAAAGTTTTTCGCTTCATCTTTCACATTTATATTTCAGCATATGTTCTCAGCATATTTGCAATGCAATTATTTATTCCAAGTTCACCAACACTCTCTTTATTCCCAGAGACAATGATGACATCTTTTATGACATCTCTGTAGCACTAGACCATTAAGATCAGCTTTTATCGTGAGAACAAGTGTTTGTTTGTTTGTTTCTAGGTCACCATCATCTCTGGGTTTTCCCATTTTTCTGTCTACTTTAACTTACCTTGGTTCCTCTGCTTCCTTTGTTTATGACTTAAATAAACTATTACTTTATGGTTCTTTCCTAAGCCAAATCATGTCAATTTTTGCACATTCTTCTTGGGACCTCTCATCCAATACTTTGGGGACAATTATCATTTATATGCTGGTGATGCAGAAGCCTAAATTTCTTGAGCGGATTTCTTCTCTAAACTCCAGGTACATATATTTAAAAAATTCCCAGACAAGTTCATTTAGGTATTCCCAAGATACCTAAATTGAACATGTTCAAAGGAGGATCCAGCAATTCAAAAACCAACCTATTCTACTCATATGTCTTGAAGCATGTATTTTCTAACTCAGTGAATGGTGTCATCTTCCAGCTAGTTATCCAAGTAAGAAACCAAGAAAACATTTTTCATATATCCCTCTAACTTCCACTGATAAACAATTAATTATTAGACACTACTAATTATTTAATCTATTTTTTTTAAATTTGTCTACTTCTAACACATTCTGTACTCTTTCATTTATTTATATTTCTATCATAATTTTCTGGATTATTGCCCTCTAATATTTGTCTTAGCCACCATGTTTCACCACTCTTTCTCTGCATATAACAATTTGAGTGTACTATTTAATATGCAAATCTTAGCTTAAAGTCCAAACTTCTTAATGTGGTTAACTCCACCTTTGATAAAGAAACCTTTCTTTGCAGACCAGTCTCAACTCTTGTGACATTCTTCATGTAATCTCCATGTTCTAGCCATGTTGCATACTATATGTTTCTCAAATGTTACCACAGATTTTGTACATAGTTGGGCTAGAATACTCCACCGTTTATATTCACTCCTCTAGTTGCTTACTATTTGGATCTATTTATTCATCAGATCTCAGGTGAAATTTTACTTCTTTCTAGTGGTGTTTCATTATCTTTCCAGTTTTTCATTACCTCTCAAATGTTATGTTCAATAATCCATTCACTTGTTAATTTGTTACCTACTTTAAATTTCAAATTTTGGTAAGTAGAAATAGTTCTATATTTTTCCTTTTTTATACAACACAGAGTAAGACTCAGTAATTAGTAGATGCTCCAAATATACTGGTAGAATAATGGAGCAAATTAATACAAAGTTTGTGTTCCTCCAAACCCTTTTTTACTACCTCAATTACCTTGAATTTTTTCTCCACCGAATGCTGCCTTTGACTAATCCACAGCAAAACCAAAAAGAGTACAATAGACTTGAGACACACTGTGAATGTCAACAATACTTAACATTACTTAAGTATTGAGTTTATTTTATACTATTTGTTGGTTCTTCTAAAATGTTTTCCTTGTATGACATCATTTTAAACAATTTGTGAACAAAAAAAATGTCTCACAAGCATGAGCAATTATGCTGTGGTTAATCTTTTGGGACCCAATTTGCTTAGCAGATAAGAAGCAATCACTTGAAATTTAAGATTGCTATATTGAATAGAAATATGAAAGAATTAATAACTAACAGCAAAAATTATTTTAACACACCGAGAAATAACTCACAAAATATTTTTTATTTTCATTTATGCTTTAGTAAGGAGTTTATTAAATTTTTAATTTTAGTAAGAGGTCATAGTACGCTTAGATCAAAGTGAATTAACTTGCTGTTACACTTTACAAAGATGCAAGTAATGATCTAGATTGCACCAAAGATCCAATCCTACATCTGACACTAAATAATCTTTTGAGTTTATATAATTAAACCATGAAGTTCCTATCATCCTAAAGATGCGTTTAGTTCAAACTCAAAAAAACGTTGTTGGAAAGTTCTATTTAAAGATAAAAATTGTTTAAAATAAACTTTGTTTTGTTTCCCGAAGTCTGTTGGAAATCATTTAAAGGCACCCAAATCACTGAGCAATTCACACTTCTTCTCTTTAAACTATCTAATGAACTATTTATCCCCATTACACACACACATATGAATAGAATGATAAATAGATATACTGATAGAAAAACCATATACAATTCCTTATTTTTACAAAAAATATAGAAGAAATCAAATCTTACTGAATGTGAATATTTTACCCCCAAATTCTTTAATTTTTATAACACTGTTCTGTGTAACAGAATTAAAAATAGCAATAACAAAAAATCTTAAATATAAATTGTACAGAAGTTATCATATTTATTTTGCATTTTTATTTTTAGCTAATCTGTAATGACTATACTAAACGGTTTTTTTCTTTTTTTTTCCTTTTCAGAGACTTAAAAGAAATTCAGAAAGCTTGAGTGACATCTATCATCGTGTACACAGCTATTGGCGTCTGAGAATATATTCATCAATTGTTTTAAAAAGATATTTTAATTTTTTTCTTTCTATTAAAATTATAAAGTTTATTTTCAGGATTACTTCTTAGAGTTAATTTAATTTTAAAAATTTACAATTCATTCTGTTATTACTATTATTTCAACTAATAGCCAGTGAAGTTGAACATCTTTTCATATATATGTTGGCTCTTTGTTTGTCTTCTTGGAAGAATTGTCTGCTCAGGTCCTCTGCCCATTTTTTAATCGGATTGTTTGTTTTATTGTTGTTGAGTTGTATGAATTCTTTATAGATTTTGGATATTTGCCCCTTATTGAAGGCATTATTTGCAAATATCTTCTCTCATTCAGTTGGTTGTCTCTTTGTTTTGTTGATGATTTCTTTTTCTGTGCAGAAGCTTTTTAGTTTGATATAGTCCCATTCGTTTATTTTTGGTTTTACTTCCTTTGCATTTGAAGTTAAATTCATAAAATCCTCCCTAAATCCAAAGTCCATGAGTTAGTACCTATTTCTTTTATGCAATTTATTGATTCAGGTCTTATATTTAGGTCTTTGATCCATTATGAGTTAATTTTGGTATATGGTGACAGACAGCAATCTGGGTTCATTATTTTGCTTGTGATTTTCCAGTTTTCCCAGCATCATTTATTAAAGAGGCTTTCTTTCTTCCATTAGATATTTTTGGTTCTTCTGATGAAAATTATTTCCCCATGTACATGTGGGTACATTTGGGGGTTCTCAATTCCGTTCCATTTGTCTGTGTATCAATGGTTTTTCCGCCAATACAATGCTGTTTTGATTATTGTCATTGAGCATAATTTGAAGTCAGGCAGTGTGATACCTCCTGCTTTATTTTTTATCTATGTGATGTTTCTATGTATCTAGGTTGGACTTTCAACAACATGGAGGTTGGGTTTGTGTATTTAACATTCTCATGGTTAAAAAGCATTCCAATGGAGAAAAAAGGTCTAGCTTTAAAAGTTGTATGACATAACATCACTTTCGAGCATTCCATTGTATTAAGAATGTCACAGAGTCAGGGTCCATAAGAAAGGTAGCTATACACATGTGTGGACATAGATAAAGGGATTCACTACAATTACTTCACCTGAGAATAATAATATGTGGTAATACAAATACATAAAGTTTATTTGCT